TAACGAAGGTAAACAAACAAGTGATATGGGGAATGAAACTAGTATAAATCCATACGACAGTTCGCCTGTCCAGGATGATATGGCTGAATTGGTACGCGCTGTGCTCGAACAGAACCGACTGCGTGAGCTGCAAATGGAGCAAATAATAACCAAGTTAATGAACAACCAGAGAACGACAACACCGATGATGCTGCCGAATCTGACGAAGACTATACCAATGTTTAATGGCGAAACAGGTGATACTGATGCGGCTGCGGAGTAGTTGAATGCGTTGAAAACCGCCGAACAGTTAAATGGTTGGCCTGATGAGAGCACTTTGGAAGCGGGACGTTCTGACTTAGAAGGAGCAGCGAGGAACTAGTATCTCAGTCACATGGGTGAACTTAACATTTTCGAAAAATTTTCTAAGTCGTTTGAAGCTATGTTTATGGCACCTGAAGGAGTAACAGAAACATCGAAAAGGATGTACGAGCGTGTTCAACAAAAGAATGAAACAGTCTTCGCTTATTTCCACGATAAAGTGCGAATGTGTCGCCGGCTGAAACTATCCATGAGCGAAACCAAGAAAATGATTTGCGTCGGGTTACATTCACGAGATTTGTCAAGTGCATTAATGAGTAATGTACATGTACTCGAAGAAGAGTTGAAGGCTGATATTCGTGAATTCAATAGTGTGAGTTTGATTCGTGGTGAACGTTTCCGTGACACGTCGACACTGGGTAAACAAGTACTTGTCGCGAAAAGTACTAGTGTACCAAAGGTCAGTATGGATACACAGGATGCAATTACGAGCATTCCAATTAAGAAAGAGTTCCGTAAAACTTATGATGGACCTCTGTGTTACAATTGCCAACTGACCAGACATGTTGCAAGGGATTGTACGCAACCACGACGACCACTTAAGTGCACTAAGTGTAAGTGGAGGGACATACAGCTAAATATTGTCAAGTAACCAATACGCCGGATGTGAGTTTAGTGAGTTGTCAAAATAAAAATAAATTTATGTATTACATGAAAGAAGTGCGTATCAACGACAACAAGAAAACTATGCGAGGTCTAGTCGATACCGGTAGTGCTTTTACTATTATAACGGAGAGTATTGCAAAATACTATGGCCTGGAGGTGCGACCTAAAACAGTAAACATGTATGTCTACGGAAATGCTCAATAGCAAGTTGTGGCGAAACACAGGCGACCATACATGCTGATGAAGTGAGTGAGCTCATCACATTGGTGGTAGTTGACGACCAAGTCCAACAATATGACATGATAATTGGACGTTCCTTTACAGACTGCGAAAATGTCACATTTATCAAAACAACAGATCAATTACGGTTTGCCTATGGTATAATGATGCCATATTAGGAGGACTATATAAGTCTATTAGTAAACAAATAGTGCGAGTAGTTTGCGAAAACGAAAATAAAGGTAAATGCAGGTGACCATGATGTAGAGGTAATGCTCATCAACGACGAAGACACTGAGATAAGACTGAACAGAGATCAATCAGTAGGAATTATCCGAGGAGGTCAGAAGTCTATTGAAAACAACCAAGATGTAAAGACACCCATAACTGCAGAGATGGTGAAGTACGGTTCGACGTTTTCCAAGGAGGAAGTAGACAGATTAGTGCAATTATTAAATCAATACCGCGAGTGTTTCGCATTTAATCTAAATGAGCTAGGGTGTACTGATGTCCTTGCTATGGATATTGTGGATGATGGAAAACCGGTATTGAGCGAACCATATCGAGCCAGCGCATCCGAACGAGAAATCATCAGTCGTATAGTACAGGAGTGGAAGGAGGCGGGCATTGTCACTGAAACAAAATCATCATATGCATCACCTGTGCTGTTAGTAAAAAAAAAAGATGGTGACGCAAGACTTGTGGTTGACTATAGAAAATTGAATGTTCAAGCGGTGAGAAAAGTCTTCCCTACTCTTAACCTAGATGAGCACCTGGAAACATTACACGGAGCAACGTTGTTTACAACACTTGACCTTGCTTCCGGTTACCTACAGGTACCTTTGACTGAAACAGCTAAAGAGAAAACTGCGTTTATCACACCTAGTGAGTCTGGACAATTCGAGCGAATGGTTTTTGGTCTCATCAACGCACCTTATGAATTTTCGAGGTTGATGCAACGAATATTACAACCACTGAAAAATAAAGTCCCTATGTGGTACTTGGACGATATTTTGGTATCATCAACATCATTCCAGGACATGATCAATCGGCTGGGTCAAGTATTCGACGCATTTAGGGAGGCGAAATTAACTCTTAAGTTGAGTAAATGTAATTTCGGATACACTGAGGTGGCGTATCTAGGATTTATGTTGTCAACAGATGGAGTGAGACCCGGTGATCAAAAGGCCATAGCCATACAACAATATCCAAAACCTAAAAACAAACATGAGGTGAGACGTTTCCTTAGACTATGTGGGTTCTTCAGGAGGTTCATTCAACGTTATGCGGAGGTAGCCCGACCAATCAATGACCTACTTCGGGATAACGTGCAATTTGAGTGGACAGAGTCTCAGGAGGAAGCGTACAACAATCTGAAGGACAAGCTGACCAGTAAACCAGTGCTCCAAGTCTTCAACCCTAATGCGGATACTAAATTACACTCTGACGCTAGTAGTGTGGGTCTGAGTGGCATGTTACTTCAACGAGGTGAAGACAAGAGGTTACACTTGGTGTATGTTGTATCAAAAAAAACTACCTCAGCTGAACGACATTACCACTCAAGCAAACAGGAGTTAATGGCAGTGGTCTGGAGTATGTGTAGACTGGGTCATATTTAATTGGGATTAAGTTTTTAGTTGTAACAGATTGTCAGGCAATTGTACATCTAAATACCCAAAAGACTCTGAACCCCCAAGTAACGCGTTGGGCAACGCTTCTAGGTGAGTATAAGTTTGACATAAAACATCGCCCAGGCAGTAATATGGATCACATTGATGCCCTAAGTCGTGCGACGACAAGCATGTCGCAAGACACTGAAACGGAACTGTTAGATGAATACATGGAAGTGCTTATTGCTATGACCGAAGAGGATCAGGTGATAGCAAGGCATCAGACAAATGTGAAACTTAAAGCAATCATGGGTATCCTTAGTCAAGAAGAATCTGATTGTACAACAATCGAAGCTGAACGAGTAAAAGAATACCAACTTCACCATGGAATGTTATATAGGAAGGTGACAATGGACCACAACGAAACAAGATTATTGTGGGTAGTACCTGAGTCAATGCGAAATAGCATAGTGGTAAGATTCCATGACTTGGCGGGTCGTTTTGCAATGGATAGGACATCTTTCCGTGTGTTGCGGAGTCGACCAGTTCTTCCGGGTTGTCCCGGAAACACTCAGCCCCCTTTTATAACCGTGAGGTTATCTCTTCCGGGCAGTAACCCCGGATGACTCCGGGGGTCCCGCCCGGGGCGCCGCCTCACCTCGGGCGCCATAATGAGTGACCGTCGCTGCCAGAGCCCGACGGATTATCGCCTGAGTCAAACCCCTTCTACTAAGGCGGTACTCCCATAACCACCACGAGTCCTTCCTCAAGTGTGCCTTTCCCGGTGCGGGCGAGCGCGTGTCCTCGGTGAGTCCACGCGGTCGTGCGCCTCGGGTCCGGCACCCCCGGAGCGTCGAGGCGCTATTAGCAAGCCGACTCGACAGGGCTTTCTCCGAGTCCCGTGGTACAAGGTTCGAACCCGGCGTTCAGACCCTCGCAACTGCCTTGTCCGCAAGCAGGTCGGTCGTGGCACCGCTGTGTATACCGCAACGACCCCCTTTTCGTGCGTACGGTTTTGCTCTTTATCGACAGATTGCCGTTTCTGCCGGTGCCTATCTCATATCAAGCCCCGAGCCGGCTGAATACGTGCACGTGCTTCGCCCGACGGGTGGTGGTCTGGCCCCTCTAGTTCGAGCTCTCGGTCTAGGCAAGAATTTATTCATAGAGAGTGAGGGCACCCAATTCGCCCCACGAGATGTTCCGTCCGTCCCGCCTCCGTGGAAAGCGGGCATTCAGTCCGTCCGGTGAGGTATCCCGTCCTCGCTCCCGGCTAGGCGGGTCTTAGTACGGAGAGCGTTCGACGATCCTGTGGGGGCGCCGTCTTAAGGCCCTTGATCCGGCTATCAGGTCCCGCTTCGCCTGCCACTATCCGGTACTTCGCAGGCTTTCGCCCCGCTGCCAACGGTGATAGCGACGGTCGTTCCGGCTAGGCCCACTCGGACGATTTGTACCCGCGTGGATAGGGGAGACTGTCCACATGTCTCTGGCAGTGCGCCGTGCCCTGCACGTACGCCCTCTAGCCCGTCGGCTATGGTTTTAAAATTAGGAGTCCGGGTCGTGCCCGCGGGATCGTCCTACATCTTTACGTTCTAGGACTTCCCGGGAGAAGTTTTTGAACGCAAGAAACATGGCCTCCGTGGAGGTCATGGTATCGCAGTCGCACGGCCAGTCCACACCTTCCGCTTGCTCTGCGACTGCGAGCTTGTTTCTTTCCTGGCTATATGCTGGGCAATCGTATAGCACATGCTCCGCGGTTTCCTCTGGAAGACCGCATCGGCAACGTGCCTCGCCTCGAAGGTTGAAACGACATAGCGACGAATTGAAATTCCCATGTCCGGACACGAACTGCGAGATGTAGTGATCCGGAACGAACCACGGCCTCTCTAGTCTGCGCCGGACGTCCGGGAACCAAATCGCCATCCGCCTGCCTTTGTCACTGGCGACCCATCTCTCCTGCCTGAGGCGTATGGTATTGTCGTAATACTGTTTCGCCTTTCCAGCAACGTCTGGCCCCGAATTGTTTCCTCTCCTTACGGCGCTCTTATCCCGTTCGATCTTAGTCAGCCGAACTAGTTCCAAGTCGAGGGGAGATACTCCGGCTATGACCTGGAGCGCCATCGTCGACGTGGCCTTATATGTGCCGTCATTGCCAGTAACGGGCGTCTTTGGGTGGTGTTGGCCTGTGTCCTGTGCCGGTATTGGGCCATGCAGCGCTCAGCCCAGACCGAGACCTCGTAACCCATACGCGGGAAAACACCAATTTGTACAGAATCCTTGTCGTGCTCTCTTTAAGGCCGCAGCTCGCCTTAGCCACGGATATTAGTCAACTGATTAACGCTACCGAGTACGCGGCCTTTTCCGCCAGTTGGGAGCTAAACTTCCTTTGCGGATCAAAAGTGACCCCGAGGTATTTCGCCTCCGGGGTCATTTTTACCTTAGTCCCACCAAGTCACAGGTCAAGGGGCTTACTTAGTTGGCCCTTGATCCACAAGGTCTGCGACTTGGCCGCCGAGAAGGTGAGTTTCCTGTCAGTGGCCCATCTCGACGCTATTTCTAGCAGCGCGTTCGCGCGTTCCGTGAGCTCCGAACGGTGTTTCCCGGAGATGAGTAGCGTGAGATCGTCCGCGTATGCGACTATCTCTGTCCTGGGGGGAAGATCGCCGGACAAGTGCGGGTTGACCGCATACCTCCAGAGGTCGGGCCCGAACTCCGAGCCCCGCGGTGAACCCTTTGTTAGGGTCGTCGAGAGTGTCATGTCTCCAATCGCCAAGTGGGCCTTTCGGCCGTCGAGGTAGCTCTTTGTCAGGGCGATCAACCCAGAGCCGTATTTTACCTTTTCAAGATCTTTTATCAATTGCGCCCCCCAGAGGCAGTCATTCGCCCCCGATATATCCAAGAATAGGGCTGTTCGATTATTTTGATTAATCAAAATTTCCTCCGATTAATCGATTTAATCGATTATTTTACGCATTAAAAAAAAAACGATTAATCGTAATATTGATTAATCGGTTATTAATCGAATATCGATTAATCTTCATTTCGATTAATTGTTTATTTGAAATATACAACAATAAATTAATAAACTATTTTTATAGCCATTTCCTGCCGTTCCTGATATTGGTTATTTTCTTATCTTCTATTATGATTTATGAATGATTTCAAATAGATGACGTTATATAAAATTAAAATGGTGCTATATTTAGCCTTTAGCAATCAAAAAAACATTTTATTTATATTTTATCTGTTATTTGTACTGGATCTGGGTTTATTACTTAGTTATTACTTAGTATTAGTGTATAAGTGTATTAGTATTACTATTACACATTTACACCACGGCCACTCGCCACTCTCCTTTCGCGCGACCGTTCACTCTTTAGTTTACTCTCGTTTAGTCTTTAGTATTTTCAAATCTCATTTCACTGTTCAGCGACCAGCATTTGGCCTTCGACGAGTTCGACCTTTGCGGCTTTGCTTAAGCGGTTCAAATGTTCAATTGCGACAAGAATACAAGATTATAAGAATAAGATTATACATTAAGATGTGTTCAGCTGTGTGGAATGCTTTCACTAAGTCCGAGTGTGGAACTCGGGCAACTTGTGAAATATGTTTCAAAGGCTATTCGAATTCAGGAAATACGACAAATTTATGGAATCATTTAAGTAGTACTCACAAAGCTGAATACCACGAACTAAGAAATTTAAAGAAAAAAGATCAAAGCAATACTATGACAGAATCACAGGAAAACGATACACTTGAGTAAGTAATAATTTATTATAGAATTTTACAATTTCTAAATTTAATTTACATAATATTTTAATTACATATTAATGAATAAATGAATAATGATTACAAATTGTCAACATTTTTTACATGACACTTGATCGTTTTATAAATTTATAGTTTTGGTAGGTAGGTGGCATATATCGTTGGTAGATATTTATTTCTGTATTATATAGTAATAGTACATACTATTATTATTATAATTTGTATCTTATTATAAATAATTAGGTGGGTACTCAGATTTTAATATTTTTTTTTTAGTTTTACAAAACAATTTACAATCTGTTAATAACTAGAAGTTAGAAGTTAGAACAATAAATAAATTTTATGGATAAATTAATGATTTGGAAAAAAAAATATGGATCAAAGAATTCTTTCAATTAAGCCACTTTGTCAGTTCAGATTTTAATATATTATATATATATATTTTTGAACTTTTTAAACAAAATATTGTAACTATATCAATTATCCCTTAAGGTGCCTAGTGTAAAAGTAAAACTACATATATAATTATTATTTACATAGGTACCTACTGCTGTAGCAATGTACAATATTATTTTAGGGATTATAAAACGTTTAACTTTTATAGCTAAACATAGAAAATTTCAAAGTTCCGTGTAAATAGGTTATATCTGGTTATATATAATATACAAACTATTTTATTCAGAATAATATCTAAAAACTATACTTAGTAATATCATAAGTAGGCTGACGCTGACTGACCGTTTTAGCTCAGAATCGTTTATCTTATATAGGTAATGATATTAATTATCATATCATTTATATAATTGGATTCAAATTTAACATAATACATTACAGTTACTTGTAACCTACATATATATATACATACACCTATATTATTTTAATGATTTTTTTATTTCATAGTTAAATATTACATTAAAATAATAATACACCTATTAAATATATTTAGTAGTAATAGTTAACACTTATACAGTAATACTAGTACTGATTACTAGTAGTACTATTAAAAACAGTATGTGAATTTACCTAAAATTACAAACTTTTCTAGAAAGCAATAAAATCATAATATAGCCATATAGGTAATCTGGTAATATATGCAATATGTATATTGTATCATATTTTATTATAATATTATTACAATAAGTATAAATCATATATGTATAATAATTTTAGAATAATAAGTTTTCAAAGTAATTAAGACAATTAAGTTTGAACAATTTGCATTATTATTTTTAGATTAACATCATCACAAGATACATTACAATTAACTGATTCGTCCTCCTCAGAAGTTTCATATAATAGTAATTGTCAAAATAATGTAACCAAGAAGTCTAAATTTGAACTTGAACATAAACAATCATCTATGAAGTCCTTCACTTTAACTCCAAATTCAAAACTGAAATTGGATAAAGTTCTGGCATATTTCATTTCTGTTGATATGATGCCTTATAATTTGGTAGACAAAGAAGGATTTAAACTATTTGTTAACGCTTTAAATCCTAGTTATCGACTGCCTAGCCGAACCACATTGTCTAATAAAAAAATTCCAGATCTATTCAAAGAAACTAAAATGAAAATGGAAAACATTTTATCTAGTACAATATTTTTATCTTTGACAACTGATTGCTGGACATCTGTAGCACAAAAACCATTTATAGCTTTAACTGGACATTTTATGGATAAAAGTATGAATTTAGGTAAAAAATTATAATTCAATGTAATATAAAATAACATATAAATAATTATAATAATAATAAATAAATTTTATAGAAACAATATGCCTTGGGTGTCAAGAAATGTCAGACAATCATACAGGAGAAAATTTGGCAGATGCTATACAGCTAATCTTACTAGAGTATGATCGAGAAATAAATGTTGGTATTGGAGCGATAACAACTGATAATGGGGCAAATGTATTAAAAGCAGTAAATAATTTATCAATTTCACATGTTTCTTGTTTTGGACATAGCTACAATATAGCTATAAAAAGAGTTTTCAACTTAGATCAGGTTAAAACTGCTGTTAATAAAATTAAGGCAATTCAGAACATTTTTGGTTATAGTTGGACGGCCATTAGAGAATTGTCCATTGAGCAACGACGCTATGGGTTACCAACTGTGAAATTTCCAACATATTCAAAAACAAGGTGGTGGTCATTGTTAGACCTAATAGAAATAGCCATATCTCAAGAATTAGCATTAGCATCATTTCTAAGAAGTTATAAAAATGGCATTCACAAAGACAAAATGTATAATGAAGAAGAAATGATTGTCTTAAAAACATTAATACATGTTTTACAGCCTATTCGACAAATTTCAGACAATCTTGCAGGTGAAACATTTGTAACAGCATCAGCAATTATACCAGTCATAAAAATTGTAGAAAATAAACTAACAGAAACTGCAACTAATGATAATGAAATTAATATTGATCAAACATTGAAAAAAACAGTTCTTCAAACAATAATTGATTTGCTTCATGTTCGTTACAATAATAGTGATATTTTAAAAATTTGTACAGTGCTTGATCCTAGATTTAAGTTTGACGTGATTTCTTTGGAAACTCATGATGCAGAAACCTTAGCAATAAAAACTCTTATTAAAAAAGAATGTATTGAAGCTTGGGAATATTGGATAAAAACTTCAAATGATACATTAATTATTGATTCCGAACCACGAACAAAAAAACAAAATATAGGATTGACCGCAATATTTGATACATTTAATCAAACACAATCAACTGATAGAGTATGTATTTTTTGTAATTTAATTTTTATAATTTTAAAATCAAAGTATTGCAGTAGGTAATGTGTTAATAATAATACAATTTATATCATGTTGTAGGAAATTTCATTATCTGATGGAATTGATAAAGAGATTGACGCTTATTTTCAAGTTCCGAAAATACCATGCAATCAAAGCTCTTCAACATGGTGGTTTTCAAATGGAAGTATGTTTCCAAAGCTTCAAATTATGGCTAGAAAATACATGTGTATACAAGCTACAAGTGTTCCCAGTGAACGAGTCTTCAGTAGAGCTGGAAATATTGTTACGGATCATAGAGCATCATTAAGTGATGAACACTGCTCACAACTTATATTTTTATCTATGAACAAGAAGTTCGTACTCAAACCGTTTCCTTAAAAATTGTATACATATTACATCTTATAAAAGTATAATACAAAGAAGTTAAAAAAGAAGTTTCTTGTAATCTTGTATTCATGTCTGTCTAGAATAAATCTTATGTCCTTGAAAACATTGTACTTTTTTAATATTGGTACAAGAACAATTTGTGGAAGTATTAATTACACATAACCTGAAGAATCTTTATGGATGCTTAGATTACATTTTAATCATAAAAAATATTTTGAACAATAAAGATTATATAGTTAGTTTTATTTAAGTTCAGCTCTAGATAATTATTATTGAACCATGATTTAATGATTATACAATTTTAAATCTAGTTTTGATTAATCGGTTAATCGTTAATTCAATTAATCGATTAATCTATTTTTGATTAATCGGTTAATCGCGATTCAGATGTTAAGTTGATGTCATTTTCAATTAATCGACTTTTTCATATTGTGCAAGATCATAATCGATTCCCCCAAAAAATAATCGAACAGCCCTAGGTACAAGCTATACCATCGGCACTACGAAAGCACGATGGAAGTTATACTAATACCATAGCGGAAACCAGCTCATACGTTTTAAATGAATTGATTCCTACTTCGATCCTGGACGTTAACCAGAACATATTGAAATTAATTCTACAAGACCTGTGAAGATAACAATTGAGGAATTAAAAACAATCATAATGCGACAAATGAACAAGGCTCCAGGTTACGATGGTATAACAGCTAATATAATAAAAGCAGCTAGGCTTTCTATAAACTTGAACCTACACAGGCTTGTTGACCAGTGTCTTGAATTAGGAAAATTCCCTAAAATATGGAAGACAGCTGATATAATTATAATACTAAAGAATAAAGACAGAGACCCTCTAATAGCAAAAAACTATCGACCAATCAGCTTGTTACCTGTCCTGGGTAAGATAGTGGAAGAACATATTTGTGACGTATTAGAGACTGATATAGGTCAAAGGATGAGCCACAACCAACATGGTTTTAGACCTGGCAAGTCAACTCCATCTTCCATAAAGTACTTACTTCATTGGACCAGTCAAAATGGGAAGTACGTCTTAGGTACCTTCTTAGACATAAGCGGTGCTTTTGACAACGTGAATTGGCTAATGCTAGTGTGTGACATGAAAGTCCTAAAATATAGCGACACCCTCATATCAATAACAAATAGCTATCTTGAGAACAGGAAAGCTATACACCGATTGGGCAACTCTGGTACAGAAATAACACTCACCAGAGGGTGCCCACAAGGTTCAACATTTGGTCCCCGCTTGTGAAACATCACAATGGACAATCTCCTACAATCAGTTCTCCCAACCAATATCCACATCATTGCATATGCGGACGATATTGCACTGCTAGTGGCTGGAGATACTAGAAAAGAAATAATCGAATTAACAGAAAAAGACCTCATCATAATAGGTAACTGGGCAGTGGCGGCTCTAGGGGAGGGGCCCAGGGGGCCATGCCCCCCCCCCCCCCCCCCGAAACCCAAAAAAAAAAAAAATAGGCGAGTTTAATATGATATGATATGCTTTTATGATATTATTAAATTATTTCGGGTTTTCCCGCATCCCGTGGCCGACCGCGATAGTATCTATCTGAACTGACCTTTTTTCTATTGTTTGTGTTTTATCGTCAGCGGCGTGTAGATATGAATAGTTCCAAGAATTCTCTATGTATCTATGTGTTCAGACGTTTTTCGTAGTTCAGAGTAATATACTTTTAATGATTGTAGCTTCATTTTACTACAGCGATTTTACGCGACCAGACGACCAATATGTATAATAGTTACCATAGTATAAAATTTAATCTCCGGCTCGCAATTTGCATTGTAATGGTACGTATTATTATAGCATATTCAATTATTTGATTAATTCTTTACTCTAAACTCTTTATTTGATTTCAATAAGTATTTACTGTATTATAACATTAGAATTTTTTAGATTATTAATTAGATAAAAAAAATGTTTTTATGATTAATGTTTTCAATGATTACAAACCATATATGTTTTATAAAATAAATCATTGTATACGATATCTACGGATAGTATTTTTTATAAAACGAAAAAAATTAAAAAAAACATTATTATAATCTAAAATTATAATAAAGTTACTAAAATGTTTTCCAACTTCCAATGTATGTTTTTAATGTTTTATAGGATAAAGAAAAAAATGTAACTTTTGGTGGTAGTAGGAAGAGACAATTATCTAAGCCAATAGATTTTTTTTTTACAAAAAAAACCAAAGGAAAGTACTGATAATGATATAATTCAACCTACTGAGATTAACGCTAATGCTGGTGAGCTATCAACGATATCTACAACCAATCCTACTGAAATTGAGATAATTGAAAACCAAACTATAAATATAGATAGTGCATTTGATTATGATATAGGCCGTTATTTTGGTAAAAATATTAAATTGAATGATTTCACTAAATTTCAATTGTTAGAAAATCCATGGTTTCCATCCAATACATATAATTTTCCTTTCTCACTACATTCAAAAGGTGGTAGAGACGTTAAACGTTTTGTTGGACTCCATCATCTTAAAGCTCATCACTGGCTTGTCCTCTCAGATCTTCATCGTGGTCTTTATTGTAAGTATTGTGTACTTTTTTCTGGTGAATATGGATCTCACCAGAGTGGTAGTCAACTAGGAAAGTTAGTAAAAAAACCACTTACGTCATTTGCAAAGCTTTATGGTAAAGATGGCTACCTTACAACTCATGAGAACTCAAAGTATCATAAAGATGCAGTTAGTGCAGGTAAAGACTTTTTAATAACATATCATGCCCCTCAATTGGAAGTCATCAACCAAGTGAATTCTCAACGGTTAGCTCAGGCACAAGAAAATCGGTCTCGTCTTCGTCCAATAATTGAGACAATTATTTTATGTGGACGGCAAAATATTCCTTTACGAGGACACAGAGATGATGGCTATGTTTTAGATCAAAATATTAAGACAATAGAATCATCAGAATCTGTTAGCAGTGCAAAGAACGATGGGAACTTTAGGGAACTTTTGCGCTTTCGAGTGGCCGCTGGAGATACCAAACTTGAGAATCATCTTAAAAATGCATCAGCCAATGCAACATACATTGGAAAGAACACTCAGAATGAACTAATAAATGCATGTGGTGAAGAAGTATTACAAAATTTAATTGAAAAAGTACATCAGTCTCGGTGGTTTTCAATTATTTTTGATGAGACTACAGATGCCGCACATAGAGAACAGATGAGTATTTCTCTAAGATATGTACATAATAAGACAATTCGAGAAGATTTTATTTCATTTGTTGATTGTTATGAGTCCATAAGATCTGAAGATATTGAAGGAAAAGAACGGCGTTTGTCTGGAAAAGTTCTAGGACACATTGTTATTGATTTTTGTAAAAAATATACATTTGAGTTGGAAAAAAAATGCGTTGGGATTGGTACAGACAACTGTGCAGTAATGTCATCGGAGATTAATGGTGCTGTTCAAGAGATACGTAAAGTAGCAAGTTATGCAAAACGTTGTCCCTGTATGAACCATTCGTTAAACAACTCTCTTAAAAGGTCTAATAATATATTGGCTTGCCAGAATACTATAAATAAAATGAAAGAAATAATAGCTTTCTCAAATTCATCCGCCAAAATAACTAATGTTTTTCGTACTCTTCTTGGTCGGTCATTTTCGGGGCTCTGTGAGACACGGTGGCAAGAAAAACATGACGGAACAATTCAGTTTTGTACTTATTTGCCTGAAAAATGTGAAGGCTTAGAAAAAATCACCCATTGGATTCGTTCTCCAGATACTTCAACAAAAGCACACTCACTTCTAAATACAGTAACTTCCAGTGAATTTATAGTTACAACATTTGCCCTTTCCGATGTTTTAGGAACAACACTTCCTCTTAGTCGATTACTACAATCTATTAAACTAGACGCTGTTACCGCTATCGATGCTTATAATGATGTTTTATCAGTTTTACAAACAAAACGAGAAAATGCAGATCCAGTTTTTCAACAAATCTTTAAAAAGGCACAAAATATGGCATCCAAATTAGATGTGGAAATTATAAAACCACGAATAGCAAAAAGGTCAGTTTATAGAGCAAATCAACTTAATTCAGATTCTATTCCAGAAGTATTTTATAGAATTTCTATCTATATACCAATCTTAGATTCAGTTATAAATGATCTACAAAACCGCTTTTCGGAAGATGTCTTAAACTCTTTTGACCTACGAATTTTGATGCCAGCTACAATAGATTTTGAAGCATTAAAAAAATCAGAAGAAGCAAATAAAACCAAACTAAAAATAATAAAATTGTCAGAGATTTACGGTGGTATTTTGAAGAATAATGCGATTTGTTTAGAAGCCGAGTATGATGTGTGGCTAGCAAAGTGGAATCGTGTGAAAATGAATAACGGCAAAATTCCAGAAACAGCTTTAGAAGTACTCGATGTGTGTGATGTTGATATGTTTCCCGCGATTCATACTTTGATTCATATTTTAGCAACTTTGCCAGTCAGTGTAGCGACGGCTGAAAGGTCCTTCTCGACATTGCGACGGCTTAAAACCTGGTTACGTACACGAATGGTTGAGGACAGACTCAATGGTCTCGCTCTTATGCACATTCACCGAGACATATCTATAGATATAGATTAAGTTATTGACAGATTTTCTAAAAATAAAAACCGAAAATTAGACTTTATTTTATAAATTGTAATGTAATTTTTATGTAATTTTTATGTTTATTTTGTATAATATTTTCAATGTATTGAAATGTGTATTTTATAATGACTAATGTGGGTAATATGTGTTAAATATGTGTAATTTTAATAAATATATTATTAAATATTAAAAAAAAGAAGTGTGATGTTTTTGCCCCCCCCCCCCCCAGAATCAAACTCTAGAGCCGCCACTGTAACTGGGGAACCGACAGGGGACTAACTTTTTCTAAAGAAAAATCGGTCTCTGTCCCACTTAAAGGCGGTTTGGTGCCTGGTTTCACCATGAAGTTCGGAAATTTCAGAATAAAATCTGTCCAATCAGCAAGGTATCTGGGTATTCAGATAGGTGTCGGTCTGAACTACGACCAACATATAGACAACGTATTGAATAATAGCAGTGACCTCTTTTCCCGATTAAAAGGTATTAGGAAATCTAAATGCGGTGTCTCCTCGGCACTAGCATTAATACTGTATAAAACTGTCTTCATTCCAAGAACAACATATGGCGTGGATGTGTGGTTCCCATCGCCATGTTCTACAATGATCAAAAACAGATTACAAACCACACAAAGAAGAATGCTACTGGCTATCACGACATGTTATAAAACCACCTCCACAATGGCGATGCAAGTGCTGGCGGGAACACCACCTCTGCATCACCACCTGGACATGGTAAAACGTGTTTTAAGTGGCATGGATAAAAATGAATCAAGGGACATATGTATACAAGACTGGCAACTACTATGGAACAGCACAACCAAAGGTAGATGGACATGGAAATTCTTTCCAAACATTGCAAAAAGACTTCAAATTCCTCTTCCGTTCGGACACTACACCTCCCAAATGGTTACGGGACATGGCGATTTCAACGCCAAACTTCAACAATTCAACTTAGTAGAAAATACTCACTGCTTCTGCGGAAACCTTAATGAAACGGCCGAATATGTTTTATGGCATTGTAGTAACCACAGTCAGCAGAGACAAATTGAAAAGTATAATCATTGGAGTGCGGAAACTGGCCATGTGAATACAGTTTCTTCCCATCTACTAGAAAAACGTGGTCAGGTTTTGAAATCTTTAGTAGAGAAGTTCTACAACGGAAAGAAAAGGATAGAGAAACCATTGAATAAAGTTATAAAAACGTTGTTTTAAGTAGAACATTTCCTACTTCAGCACAGGGCCCAGACATCTGGGATGGGCATGACGACCCCATGCTTCCCGAGTCTCACCGACCAGGGGTGAGTTCGTGACCGTGTAACAATACCAGTCATGAACACAAACCCGTACAGCGGGACTGGGATCCCCCGCTGCCGCAAGGCAGTGCCCGGTAGCCCAACAACACCTGGGCCTCTGAGAGTTGGACTCGCTGGGGCATGGTTTTCTGCTAGAAACGACCACTAGCGGCAACGTTAAGTCAGAGGTAGATGACATACAAGTTGTCCCTAGCTTTGACCACTCGGATACGGACTTTTTGCTTTCTCTGTCGAGCTCTTCGTTTGTGGCGCCGGACCCCGTTTCGGGACCTTGCGCGCGCCGCATTTCCGTCCGTCTTTTCGACCGCAACGGCCGCGTCGCTAGGCGAGCTCACATCGAGTATTGGGCCGCACAGCTCTGACCTCGTTCTTACGAACGATGCGGGTAGCTGGGCCCCCGGAACCGATCCCCGCTTATGGGGGTGTCCACATTAGCCTATCCGTCCATAAGTTTTTGCGGGTCTGCTAGGTTAACCTAACCAAGTCACCAGACCCCCCTTGTAAACTGATGGGGCGGTCCGTTTATTTGGGGCGGAGTCTAGGAATCTAACGCCGGACGAGGCCCTAAGGCCATGCCCGGCGCCCGACCACCCAGCCAAGGGCAGCCCACCTCGTCGGCCTAAACGGAGTCGCTGACTGTCCCTCCTCTAAGATTTTAATCTCATGGGTGGTTCTCCGACCACCTCCGAAGGTTAGGTAACCTTCCCGTGAACGCCTTCTAAGCTGCAGGCGGCGGTCCTGGGCCGAGCAATCGTGTCAGCTAGTTGCCTGCGCCTGGGACAACCAGCGAAGGTCAGATCCAGTTCCCGTCCTCCTCTGAGAAGACCCCCGGGCCCAGTTACTCAAGTCCAGGACCCAGTCTAATGACTCTATGGCACGACTCCCGCTAGCGGGGTCGTTACTATCGGTCCCCAGGTTGTTAAATCCAGGGCCGTTCTCAGTCGTGCCCTTGTCACGCCGATTTATTCCTTCAGCCCGTCTCCACCCCTTTTCCGGGCGGCGGGGGTCCTCAGACCCCCGGGTCCCCTTGGGCTACGGTTCCTCCCGTACCCTCCGCAACGACAACTCCTGCTAGCGCGTTGGGGCGGCCGCGGTCGCGCACTGGTATTCCACAAGTCATGTCATGCAGGGGGCTGAGGAGCCGACGCCCCCCAGCGGTACGACACCCCCCAGCAGAGCCGGACAAGTCCGATTACTGCGAGGAAATGCCGTAGTGGGGGTGTTTTTATATATTTTTTTTTTTTTTTTTAATTAATTTAAATTATGAAACCAGCCTGATGGAATAAATAAATTAAGAATAAAATAACGGATTGAGAATTACAGGAAAGAATAGATTGAGGGTTGGCTGGAATGTTTAAATAGTTGATTAAGGAGAGAAAGCTTTTGCGTTTGGAGGAGACATATGGGCAGTTAAAAAGAATGTGAGTGATATTGCAAATGGCAGGAGTAGAATGGCGAGTGCAGAGGGGGGAATCATTTAGGCCAAGCATGAATGAGTGCGAGGGTAGTAAGGTGTGTCCGAAGCGAAGGCGAGAGAAAGATGAAATATTTTTGCGAGATAAGTAAGATGATCTAACCAAAGGAGAGGAGCAATGGATGGCGCAATGTCTCTGTACCAAGTGGCAAAGTGGTTGGGGAGACCTTCCCAGTATTTGAGCCACAATTTATCAACGCTATTTTTTAGCATTGGGCAAAAGTCAGACCAGGGGATTGGGCTGGATGGGGGGCAGCATAAGGAGGCTGTCGATTTAGCTAGAGAGTCGGCTGTCTCATTACCAGAGATCCCCGTATGGCCAAGGACCCAGAGAAACTGAATATTAAAGTCTAAATCGGTGAGCGTGAGAAGGAGGAATCTGATTGTAATAATGAGTGAGGAGTTGGGTGTATTGAAAACATTTGAGGCAAGAGCTTGTAAACATGAAAGAGAGTCGGTTACGATTAGAAATTTGTTGGGGGTTAGTGTGAGAATGAAAAGTAGGGATTCATTTATTGCATAGCATTCGGCGATATAGGACGATGTTGTGGAAGGAAGATTATAAGTGGAGGAAATATGAAATATCGGAATAACAACGGCAAACCCGGCTGAAAGAGATGTAACAGATCCGTCAGTGAAGATTAAAATAAAATCAGGGAAACTATTGCTGATGTAATCTAAAAATAGGCCATTGACGAAATTAGGTTGAGCCGTTTTGAGAAAATCTATAGGAAACTCTAAAAAGTTTTTACTGTAGTGTATTATGGGAGAGAGAAAGAGCGAAGGGAAATTTGATTCGTACAACGGTAGTTTATTTGATTTAATGATATATTCTAGTATTGGGGCGAGCGAATGAGCAGTTAGGGCAAGAATGGGAAGCGATTTTGGGATGTAACGCCAGGAACAATAAATTTCAAGATAGTCGTGGAAAACGTCAGGGTGAAGGTTGGCCAAACTTTTGAGCAGGAACTTGCCAGCTAGCCATCTATGTCTGATATGTAGTGGTGGGCAGGCCATTTCAACTTCGATAGCTGGAGATGGAGTGGTTCTTAAGGCATGATATTTGCAGTTTGTTGAGTTTGTTACAATGTGTAGGAGAGGCCGAACCAAAGAAAAAACATCCGTAGTCTAAATTCGCATGGATAACCGAATTATATATGAGTAGCAAGGATGTGGGATAGGAGCCCCACCATGCATTCGCTACCGCAATAAGAAAATTGGACCAGCGAGAGAAGTATGTTTTAAGTTTTTCGAGATGGGGTGACCAACGGAGCTTAGCATCTTAAGTTAATCCTAGGTATTTATAGTTATTTACAAGGGGTAGTATATGAGACCATTGATAATAATATCAAGACCATTAGAATCTTTGATTCTAAATCTATTGTCCACCATTCAGAAGGAATGGTGGACAATAGATGTTTTATTTGAAGAAGAAGAAGCAGGCTGGTTACTTACAATGTTGGAGTAACTAAAGGCTGATGTAACCTGGTTTTGTTTCTTGAAGGTTACTGCATCTCGGAAAGATAAGTTTTCAGTGGCCATTACTTTTTTGAGGTCCCGGGTCCCGCTGGGATTTTCATTCACGGCAATTTCGATCAGTTGCAAGATGAGGAAGTTGGCAATATAGGCAGTATGGATCGGTTGCTTGAGCAGTTGGACACGATTCAATGGAGTGCTTGCAACACCGTAATGGCTGCATGTTGGGCTACTGCGACAAAATTTCGATGTATGTCCAAAACGTAAGCAACTTTTACATTGGAGAGGAAAACGTATACTAGGTGATACCTCAAAAAGCATGTTGTAAATGGATATGCACTTTGGGATTTTACAGGATAAAAATTTAAGTTCTACTATGCGTGTAGGAGTGATTTTTCCGTCCTTGTTGGTAGAGATACGTTTGAATGCAACAATTTCGAATTCACTTTTCATGCCATTTCAGATGTCCTCAACTACGAAAGCAGTGTTTAATTTAATGATACCGTGAGAACAGATTAAGGTTGAAGGTATGTATGCGGATACGCCGGATAGATTATTTTCCTGAAGTAGAGGAGATTCGAGGCAAGTGTTTGCATAGAGTGTTGAATCAAATGTAATTTTGATTTTTTTTGTGACCGTTAGGTTTGATATTGTTGATACCGAAAAAATTGTTACAGAAAAATTTAACGTATTTCAGTAGGTGCTAAAAGCTAGTGCCGGAGCTTGAATCTG